ACTCCCCCCCCCCCCCCCCCCCGAAAGAAATTCGTCCTCGAATTCGGACCTTGCAAAACCAAGAAAGGGGCAAACATAAGTACCAAGCCAACCACAATCCAAGCATTGTATGTCCAAGCTAAAAGATAAAAGATCACGATCTTGCACTCAAAAGTAACACTCTTATGATATAGCCAAGTGTCGTAATCTAGAAAGAACACATCTTCAACACAAATGATACAAACTTGACTATAAGAAAAATAACACCCATAAGAAAAATCAAGAGAGTGTAAAATTCTATATTTCCAACAAAACCACAATCTTATAAAATTCTTAACAAAGACTTTCCTACGAGCATGAGAATGGTTGTTCCAAGAGTTGCCTTGATACCATGTTGAACTCCGTGTACCACCTAAAAGTTTAAGTTTTTAAAGAAGCACACTTTTACTTAGTTTCTTGTATCTTCAACGTATACTTCTTTTATATACTCCATCCGTTTCATATTAGATGAGATATTTGACTCGGCACGAAATTTAAGTAAAAAGAAGAAGACTTTTGAAACTTGTGGTCTTAAAAGTTTAAGGGGTAAAAAGTTGGAAAAATGCACAAGTACCCCCCTGACCTATACCCGGATTCCCAACTACACACTTTTTCTTCACGGGAATCCTATTACCCCCCTAAACTTATTTTAAATGGAATTATTTGCACCCTTAACGCTGACGTGGCAGAGTGTGTGTATTTCACTCTCCCAAAGTAGAGTGAGAAGAAGGAAAAAACGATTTTCAGATTATTTTTTATTCTTTTTATCATTTTTTCTTACTTTTTTTCCTCTTCTTCTTCGTTTTTCTTTGTCTTTTTTCTTTTAATTTTTTTTCGTTTCTTCTCTAAATCCGGCGGATATTCATTCACCGACGACTTTGTCTAGCCGTTTTTCTTCCATTTTTTCTTTTCACACAGAAATTAAACTTTCAAAAGATCTATTCATAAGCAAAGCAAAATACACTCAGATTTGGGGGGAAAAACTCATCATCGAAAAACTTTCCCACGCCGGAAAAAAAAATGATGTACTGAAATTTTAACTGGAAAAAGTTTTCTCAGCTTATATTCGTTTTTATTTCTTTCGCTCTTCCTCCCACACATAAATTGCACTATATATATATATATATATATATATATATATATATATATATATATATATATATATATATATATATATAACAAAACACACTTAGATCGAGATAAAAATCTGTCGCCGAAACAAAAATTCGCCGGAAAAAATGGTGTTTGTGAAATTCCGACGACCACCATTTTATGCCGCCGGTGACCAAAACAAAAAGAAAGAGAATGAAATAACCAAAAAAAANCCAAAACCAAAAGAAAGAGAAAGAAAAGAAAGAAAAAACAGAAGAAAAAAAGAGAAAAGAGCGGAAAAACAAAACTCAAGAAAGGAAGGAAATAACCAAAAAAAATGAGAATAATAAGAAATAAGAAAAAAGGATAACAAAAAGAAGAAAGAATAAAAAAAGCATTAAAAATACATGTGGGGGCGCGTGTAGCTCACCACTTGCCAAGAGTTTGGTTGACAGCGTTAAGGGTGCAAATAATTACATTTAAAATAAGTTTAGGGGGGTAATAGGATTCCCGCAAAGAAAAAGTGTATAGTTGGGAATCCTGGTATAGGTCAGGGGGGCACTTATGCATTTTTCCTAAAAAGTTTGTGGGGCCATGACATTTGTGTGGCTATAAAAGCTTCTCATTAAGGGTAAATGGGTAAAATGAAAGAGTTTAAAGTTGAATTATCTCCAAATTTAGAAACGCGTCATTTGTTTTGAAACAGATAAAAAGGAAAGTACCTTATCTAATATGAAACGGAGGGAGTATATATTTTTCAAGGGGCAGCAAAGGGAGAAGCAAGGTACAATGCTTTAAAGAACTGCAAAAATCACAAGAGTTTCTAACGACAAGATCTAGGTTCATTTTTCATATTTGAAATAACTGATGGAGTTTCTGGTCAAATATCCATAAACGGTTGGGTTTTTTTTTTCCCGAAGGCTAAATAAGTTGATCTCTCGTTTGATAAAATTTCCGCCTTTTTATCAAGCTAATGAACTATTTCAAGACACAGAATAAAAAAAGAAGAGCAAAACAACAAATTTTGAAGGAAAAAAAAGGTAAAAATTGCACTTAACCTGTAGCCGCTTTGTCTTTCTGTTTGCACTCGTACCCACTTTTTAAAAAACTTCAGCTTCCCTTTCTCCTCCCCTTCTCCTTCTTCATTTTCTCATTGTCTGGAAACACAACTCCGTGAGGACTGAGGAATGATATGGTCATACCATTAATCAGAAAAAGGCACCAATTTTTATCCAACAAAAAAACAGCAACATGAAAATCAAATATGTTGTAATATAGATAAAACATAGAAAACGTAAAGAAAATGGAGAAACTGATCATCAGCGATCAGAGATTCAAATGTTAAAAAGAAACTTCAGCTCTATAGCTGAAGTTTTTCAGTTACAACACAAAAACTTCAGCTCTAGAGCTGAAGTTTTCTAGTTACAACATAGAAACTTCAGCTCTAGAGCTGAAGTTTTTCTGTTACAACACAAAGAGCTGAAGTTTTCTAGTTACAACATAGAAACTTCAGCTCTAGAGCTGAAGTTTTCCGGTTACAAAGAAAAACTTCAGCTCTAGAGCTGAAGTTTTTATTTTATAACTGGCAAACTTCAGCTCTAGAGCTGAAGTTTCCCGGTTACAAAGACAAAGCTGAAGTTTTCCAGTACAAAAGAAAAACTTCAGCTCTAGAGCTGAAGTTTTTATTTTATAACTGGCAAACTTCAGCTCTAGAGCTGAAGTTTCCCGGTTACTAAACAAAAACTTATAAAATAAAACTTCAGCTCTAGAGCTGAAGTTTTTATTTTATAACTGGCAAAGAGCTGAAGTTTCCCGGTTACAAAGACAAAAACTTCAGCTCTAGAGCTGAAGTTTTCCAGTACAAAAGAAAAACTTCAGCTCTAGAGCTGAAGTTTTTATTTTATAACTGGCAAACTTAAGTTTTTATTTTATAACTGGCAAACTTCAGCCCGGTTACTAAACAAAAACTTATAAAATAAAACTTCAGCTCTAGAGCTGAAGTTCGCGAGTTACAAAACAAAAACTTCAGCTCTAGAGCTGAACTTCAGGCCCGGCTACTAAAATGCTGAAGTTTTGTGTGATTGCCTTTGCTACTTCAGCCCCGTGTGCTGAAGTTATGCGAAAAAGCGGGTACGCTTGCAATTTTTTTTGCAAAGCGGGCACAGGTTAAAATGTGGCACAAAAAACGGGTATAGATGCAAATGCCCAAAAAAAAAGAAGAGAAAGTGAATAAATTCGGCCAATCCCAGTAATGGGCAGGGAACTGGAAATAGAGCTAGTCGTGATTTTCATTAATAGGTGGATTGTGATACAAGCAGCAAAAGAAGTACAATTACCATATTTGCAAGCCTTCAGGATTTTACTGCATTTTCACGAAAGAAAAAAAGTAAAAGGAACAAAAAGCAGCTCAAAGAAAATGAATCCACCTCTTATGAGGATTTTGAAAATGAGGGACAGGTATTCTATCATGGGTTGAAAGTTAATAGGGCAGAAGAGGGAAAAAAATGTACCTGATTTGCACACATAATACCTGTAGCCAAATAATATCTGTGACATAATGTCCAGAGATAGATATGCTCTTCCAGGAACTATCGCTCCAGGCCCCGCATGTCTATATTATACAGCCACCAGGTCCTCGTTATGTGGAAGATCGTGGTGGCACCTGGTGACTGCCCAGTGAATCCATGGTTTTCGGAGGCTTTGGGTAATGGCTCAGAACCCTTTATTGGAACAATATAACACTAAGCAGTGCCAGAAACTAAAGGAACCAATGTAGAAATAGAACCACAGAGCCTTCACCAATTTCTACTACTTTCTTATCAATGAATTAGTATTTTGGGCCTACCAACATCATTGTATATAGAGGAAAAGAAAGTAATAATATGGCAAGTAATAAGCCAAACATTCAGAAGAGGAGTTAATCCACCTTCACACATATGTAGCTCCATTCCTCGTCAGAAATTAAAAACTTCGTATAAAAAGTGGTCTTCCCACACTTGAAAGCGGGACATTCCTGGAAATATATTTTACTGAGCAACAAGTTTCCTGCTATCCATAATTTCATTTGTGTAACACTAAAGAGAACAGTGACCTCCAAGCAAGAGGACAGTCACAAAAGATTCACTGTTTTCACTTCCATCAACATATAAGTCCTAAAGTGCAATTTGTGCACCTCTATTCAATTTCTCACCAATGCCATTTTAACGTTTTGCTAAATTTAAATATCTCTCTCCTTGCCAAAAACATCTCATTGTTAAATGAAATACTCATCTATTACTTGAATTCTTACATGATATCTTTATCATTCCTTCTGATCTGTTTATGTATATCAAAATTCAAAACAGCAGGCAACACCTTCCTGGATTCTCCATTCTAGTTCCAAGCTGATCCTGGATCTCATTCCAAAATCAATGTTTACATGCTTACATCTAGGTAAAATTTGAGCATTCTCCTCAGTCATTACTTTCCAACTCAGACAAGTATACAACACATTCTAGGTAAGGTCTAAAAGTTTCAAGCCTTAGATAAAGGCTGGCAGTGTTTGTAGACTGTGCATTACCATTGAGAGGAAACAATTATCAATATGTACTCTGCCAGGACTGCAGGTATAAATCATGGCCACCTCGGCAAAGATGGCATACATATTAGAGAGACACCAGCAGTCTAACATAGTATTGAAGAAGGCAATGATAACTTAAGAGAAAAAAGCATGAGAACAGAGATAAGCAACAACTTACACTAAGTAGATGTCATGGGGGATCATAAAAAAAACTCCACTGCTCCAAGTCCTACACCAAATGAGTTTTCGTCCATCCTGATGACATTTTCAGAAACAACCAAAGGATTTAATCATTTAATGGTATTGGAGGGAATGGATATGAGTATTGGATAAAAATGTATGTTTTAACCAGTGAAGAGCAATGCTGCAGTGACACCAGCAGTCTAACATAGTATTGAAGAAGGCAATGATAACTTAAGAGAAAAAAGCATGAGAACAGAGATAAGCAACAACTTACACTAAGTAGATGTCATGGGGGATCATAAAAAAAACTCCACTGCTCCAAGTCCTACACCAAATGAGTTTTCGTCCATCCTGATGACATTTTCAGAAACAACCAAAGGATTTAATCATTTAATGGTATTGGAGGGAATGGATATGAGTATTGGATAAAAATGTATGTTTTAACCAGTGAAGAGCAATGCTGCAGTGCACCAATGCCATTATCATGGTTTTGGTAAAGATTTTCCCCCAAATTGGAAAAGAAACCAAGGAAATAAAGATTTTCTTTGGATTTATCATGATTTTGCTTGCCACTTGTACTAGTCTGTTAGGTATCATGTGACAAAGATCAGGCAATCATTTTTCTTATTCTTTTAGTGTGTATTTCTTCTGTAGTATGTGGGGGATTGATAGTAAAAAAAAAATGCATGTCAAAGCAGGACTTATAAACAAAGTGGTGAACTCCACCTTTCTATCCATCGAGTTTCCAATTTCAGGCACACAAATCTGATTAGGTATCTTATTATGTCACAAACTTCAACAAGTACACCTCAAATTCTGCCAAAAACTCAAGTGATCTATAGAAAAGGAAAATGCAGTATCAATCATAGATATACATTCAAGTGGCAGCATTACAGTGTGTACTGTATCATTGCTTATTTCAAGCGATGAAGTTGCAGTAACCTGGACGACAAAGAGGGCATCTGTTGATTAAAACCTCTGAATAAAATCATAAATGTTGGCATTTATTTCATCAGACTTTTCTTGGTTGATGAAGTGACCTACTTCCTCCATTACAACAACCTCCTGCAAATTAGGCACTTCTTTCTTGAAACCACCATTGTTTATATACTCCTTGGTTCCAGGAACACGATACGTCGCGTCCAGATCACCCACCACAAATTTAGTAGGAACTTGAATTTTGCATCCACAAAATGGTGCTGTAAGCTCCCAGTTTTTGCATTTAAAGAATAGATTTAAGAAAATTTGGACGTGCTTAAATTTTGCTGGAACTTTCTGTATTTCAGCATAATAGACTATTTTTCAATGACTTTGCAAACACTGGCTATTTTTCTGATTAACAGTCCGAAAACTGACTAGCCCGTGTTATTTTCACGTTTTTTCCGCGAGATGCAGACCCAATTCCATAGCGCACTTGCGTGTTTTTGTATGGGCCTAACGGGATTGGTCCGGAAAGTTCTCGACATCTGCTTATATACGTTCCGGAATATCTACTTGGGGCAGAAATATCGGTACGGATAGAAGTATCGAGAAAATACTAAACTCTCCTTTACGACAGTATAAATACCTACCAGGTCCTCTTCCTTGAACCAACAAACTTGAAACCTGAAAGCAAATTCAGAAAATTTTCAAAAGCTCGCTGAAGATGTCACTGATTCCAAGGATGTCCAGGGATTGACGAAGCAGCATCTTTGATCCATTCTCAATTGATGTGTTTGATCCCTTCAGGGAATTGGGTTTTCCAGGTTCCAATTCACGTGAGACCTCTGCATTCACGAACACTCAAGTCGACTGGAAGGAAACTCCGGAGGCCCATGTGTTCAAGGCAGATCTCCCTGGGCTTAAGGAGGAAGTGAAAGTGGAGATCGAAGACGATAAGGTTCTTCAAATCAGCGGAGAGAGGAACGTGGAGAAAGAGGACAAGAATGACACATGGCACCGCGTGGAACGCAGCAGCGAGAAATTCATGAGGAGGTTCAGACTTCCGGAGAATGCGAAAATGGATCAATTTAAGGCGGAAATGGAGAATGGAGTGCTCACTGTTACTGTTCCCAAGGAAGAGGTGAAGAAACCTGATGTCAAGTCCATTGAGATCACCGGTAAGACGCTATATAAGTTTCTATGTAAATGTAGCAAGTACTCTATGGATTGCGAGCCAGTATAAATAGATATAGTAAGGTTTGTATTACTGAAGATGTAGAGTTCTTCTTCCTTCGTGTCTCATCCTGAGCCGTCTCCTTATTTGGCCTATTAACCGCTAATGTATTCCCATGTGTTATAATATTCCTGTTGTTGTACTGCGGTTCTGTTCAAATCTTTTATCTTACTCTTTCCTTCTTTTCGCCTTTGTATGTTTTATGTTGTTTAATCAGTTTGTGTTTGAGTGAGAGACTCCTTGGTACTCTCTGTTCTCATGTTCTGCATTTTCGGTTCTAAGATTCAAAAATAAAATTAACAAATAAGAGACATGAGGACACTAGGTTGTTCAAGACTTACTGAAGCTCATCGAATTTGCAGTATGTAGCGCAACATAATATCAATCAGATCTTCAATACTTGAATTCCCATTTATTTAAGTCCTGAGCTGGAATTAGTTGAGGTTGGTAATATGTCAAGCTAGGAGGGGCGGCTGATCCTTTTTGTTCTCCTGTTATGCGTTCTCAATTTATTTTTTCTTACAAATTAAAAAAAGGAATTAATAAGAGCAGAGAAGACTCTCCTGGAAGGGAAAATAACAGAAAATTATAAATTTGCTACTCACCGGCATCAATTTCTCTATGGTGTTGATAGCCATCCGCATCACTTGATCACTACTTGTTAGCCCAAGGCAGTTTCAGTTAGTTCTTTTTATCAGCGAGCGTTAAGCTGCCTAAGCTCTTACAGAGGACCAAATTAGAACCTTAGCTTTCCAGCAATTGAAAAGCAGCTTATGGCTTTCCAAATAGCAACAATCAGGCGGGCAAGTTTGTGAAAAGGACCTGCACCTGCAGGAAAGAAGCAAACTCTCCAGGGTGGGTAATTCCTTTAGACAGACTCGTTCCCTTAGGAAGAAAAGATGTGCATTCTGAGGTAACTTATGGATGGTAAAACAGCTACTGAGCTGGTATTACTGGGCAGCACTCATTTCAGGACCTGGCCATTGAAACTACTGAGCACTTACCAGTGACCAGTGTTTAAGTATTACACGTATGAACCAAAAGTATGCAATAGTTAATAAAAGAATCAGGCTTTTTGACCATTAAATTTATATATAATGTGTAACTTTTTATACAAAATGATTTTGTTGCGCTTGTTTCATATATTGTCATTGTCATGCAAGCCAGGACATAAAACCAGGCCAGAAAGGTAATAGTGAATCATTTTCAACATTTGCTATATATCAAGCTAAGATCGAAAAGACAATAGAAGACGAGGAGCGAGAAGCTATTGAAGGATCTCCTTTCAACAACGCTTTGCTCACAAGAAATCCCTTCACGCGTTCCACAGTCTCCTCTATAAGAGAACTGCTTGGTGGTAGGTTCTTGAGGATAACCTTCAGAATATAAAGAACATAAAAGTCATTTGCGATTCATGTTACACTTTGAGATTGGCTTTACTACATGTGCACTTAATTTGCTATGACAAAAAAATTAGAGCTAAGCAAGCTGTCAATGACCTCATGTATTCCTAATTTTACTAAAGTTCTGACAGAAAAGTTTACAGTCTCATGATGAAGGTGACTACAGTGCTAGAACTTTTCAGCGGTGACATATTTATAAATAATTAAGAAAATAGAAGAAAGAACAGAGCTACATTTTTTCAATTTTGACATATTTTAAGAAAAGGGCAAACCACATACACACACGCACTGAGAATTTAGTTCGATTACCTGGTTGTCAATGACTCTGACTGTCAGGTATTCTTGCTTATACAATGTATCTAACATGGCTTGCAGATACCCTTCAATGTAAAGCTGCATCACAACCGAAAGAGCCACTTACATGATGATTTAATCTGTCTGCTAGAACAACTAGAACCTATCACAAACACACACTAGATATGAAATGACACTAACTCCAGTGCATTGAAATATTCAGCACTAGGAGTTTTTTATAACCCCCCAAAACAACAGGAAAGACGGCACCATCTAAACTGTCATACTGGAAACAAGAGCAATAACATTGGATAATGTAACAGAACTAGCGATAGATATTCATTCAGTTAGCTTGGCAACAGATTATCAGAATTTAAATGTTTCCTCAACAGCTATTTTTTAAATTTCCAAGCTCTTCAGAGGCCATCTAGCCAGATTATTTCATCCAAAAAGAAGACTTAGGACTCCTGTAGGCCATACTACAATTTTTAGGCCCATAGAAATAACGACTCCTATTCTCTGCATAATTTGATGAAATGACTAGAAATTCCATAATTTGCTAGGAAATTTAACTTAACAGTTGCACCTGAAGTTCAAGTCATGGAGTAGTATATAGCTGACAATTTTTACTCCAACAACAGTTTGGTTCACCAATATACATGTGTTATGCAGTTTAGAGTGTTGTTATTCAATGTCGTGCAGACTTTTTCCATAATAAAATTCATCCATTCCCCTTTTACAAGATAGATGAGTCATGAAGATCCAGGGGAAGTGGCCATCTAGACATGAGCGTCCAAAACCATGCAAGTTATGTCAATCAACACGACCACCTCCACTGAGCCTTGACCAAACATGTCTGAATGTTTCTCTGACAGCACATAAAATGGAGCATTGATTTATCCCACTCAAACAACATAAGTTTGCAACCATCAGCAGCTGTTATCTCTACAGGAAAAAGTTGAGATGAAATAAGAAATCATCACCACAAATGTATCATACCTCATCAACCCTTGGACTTCGATCGAGCCTAATTTTTCGATCAGGGCCACCTTCCATGAAAGCACTCCCCAATAGCGTAGGTTCCATTGCCAATTTAAGTATTCCTTGATGAAAACCATACACCTGGAAAGAACGCATGAAATTAAATTTGGATGACAGAGGCAAACTACAACCTAAGATAATGCCAAACTCATAACTAAATCAAGGTTTAATTGAAAGTTTCAAGCTTGGAACTTAGTAGTTACAATATCTGGCATGCTATTAGATAAGATGTTCTTACCATTCCGTTTAACCCGCTAGCTTCTGTTCCATTCAGAACCGAGTCTGATATTTCAGTGACAGCAGCAAAAAGGATATTTGATCCTGCTGATTTTAACTGCATAGGAAACAGCTTATGCGGCACCATTGACAATTGCAAAGAAACCATGACAACAAAATTAACTATAGAACTTACAGTTTTCCTAGATCACCGAAGTATCTTTTTGTTCCAGAAAACCCTTTACCGTCAATACACTTACTAATGAGTTTGAAAGTACCTATCATCCAAAACGCAAGCAAAGACTTCAATAAGGCAACATACACAAATAAAAGGAAAACGTCATACTTGCCAGTAAATTCTAATAGAAGAGACCTGCAGCAAGGATTGTCAAGCTAATTCTTCATATAAAGCAAAATTGGACCGAAAAAGCAGCCGATGTCATCACTTTCATGAAAATTGGGTATAAAGTACTGTGTAAAAGTCCTGATATCCTATTTAATATATCCGCACCTAAAATTCAAATTTGCGGATAGTTTTATGGTTTGGAAACTCTCCTTGACTTATATTTGTTCTAGTAATCAGGTTGGATTAAGTTACAAATAATCTCATTAAGCATTTCAAATTGAAAGAACTTTCTCTGTCATAGGCGCTTAAGAAAATGGGCAGAGTTAGTAGTCCCTGACATTGCCTTGATAGACAAGCTACTTTCATTTGCCTGCCTAATTTGCAACTTAGAAGGTACTTTTGCTAAACAAACTTCAATTTTTGATAAGATCTATATTGTACAGAAACCACACCCAACACGAGAAGATCTTTTGCTAAGAAGCAAATCTTGCTAAGGCACGTTCCCCAAAATAAGAAGATTGTAATATCCAAATAGTCTAATTAAAAGCGCAAAATATTACTTAATTTCCACATGAAGTATTTGCTTCCTGGTACTTCAATGCTACAGGCAAATTCAAGGAACTTCCACAAAAGACCCCATAAGAGCACCAATGCATCAAAAGAGATTAGCTACACACCATGCTGTCCATTAACATAGGTGTGNTGCAATGTAGATTGCTCTCATTGCGTACCTAGAGATAATGACAATTTTCAGCTGCTATTCAACAATAATTTTTGAGAGCATAGGCCATACTAGTAATAACACAGGCTTACCAAGAATAATGTTGGGCACATTTAATTGACAACTCCTGGAAAGTGACAAATGCATGAGTTACAAGGATGCCATTGAGCTCTACTATCATATTTTTTAGTGGGAGGTATCTAAAAACGCAGATATAGGAGAAAGAATGTTACACCACAGGTAAATCAAGAACAGACGTTTACTTAAATAGTAAGTGAACAGTTGTACAGTAATTGAATATTCCATCCACAATTTACAGTATACTCTTTCTACCCTGGCAGAATTTGACATCCTCCTAGTAGTAATATGATTGCAACTTTCAGAAGTTTCATGAATTCAACTTTATTTAACCAATCAAATTTTAAACTTTCATGCGATGTGTTCTATCTGAAATTAACTAGTAATGTGATGTACAAGCCAAATGAACATATTAAACTCAACCCCGACCAAATGGTGTCACGTAAATGAGATAGAGTTAGTACCATGTAACACACCTTTATAACACTGTGAAGTAAAGATCTTAGCGTCTCCTGCGTGGAGCTATAGCTGGCATAAGATTCCCCCGGAAGAAAGCTTGCCACAACCTTCAGCAACATTAATAGGAAAGAAAAAGTGAGTTAATTCCGTGACTTACATTTCCTCCTCAGTGTAAAAAGAACTTCCCTGGGGAGGAGGCATAGTGAAACCAAAGTGCTGTAGACACCTTAACAGGATGGATCTCAAAATGATCAATGTAATACTTTTGACTTGGAGTATTTGTATCGCTGAGGGACGTTCTCCAGAAAGGAACAATTCTCATTTATGCCTCTTCATCGAGGTTGAAATCAAGGGGCTGCAAAGAAAATTCAGTGGTATAAAGATGGAACAAACAGGATATGTAAGTATAACAAAAATATGACAACGAGCGAGTCACACGTCAATTTCTTATTGATCTTGGAACGTGTCCCTGCCAAAACAAAAGCATAACTAAGTGACAAACCAGTTTCCTGACTAATAGTAGAAAATTATGGGGAAGGCCTTTGAAGAATTGAACATCCTGACAAAGTTTCTGTTAGCATGATAAATGATTTAACAGATAATGTTAAAAAGGTAATACACATAAAAAGTACTACAAAACAACTTTACTTCAGATGTTCCTAGTTTTGTTACTGTTTTCTAACACTCCTCATCTATTACAAAGGAGAATTCAGGGATTGGCATCTTTACCTATATGCAGTTGATTAATCTGCCAAACGTATTGAAAAATTCATAGCATGCACTATTATTCTTCGGTATGAGGAACTCAATACCCTTCCACCCAAATAACCCCATTGTAGCATTCACATGAGCATTTTAATAAGGACTTATGAGCGTGATAATAGACTTGCTCTAATACTAATTTTATTGAGTACCTGCTACCTCTCACCAACACAAGTATCGGGTAGCTCTGTAATTCTCGACTGCCATTTATAATAAAAATCTACATTTACATATAAAAACACATCCGAACTAAATGGAGCTCCTCTCTATAGTTTAAAATTGGCATCATAGAGACCCATTTCATCTCAATGGGAACTCCATCCACAACCTTCCTTCCTCCCCTACCCCCCCCCCCCTATTCTCTTTCAACTTATCTTATCTCATTTGCCTAAAAAAGAAGAAGTTCGTCAACACTTGGAATAATTTTGGAAAGCAAGATAAAGATGACATAAGGAAACAATCAAACCTCATCCCTAAAAGGAAAATTGAAACCGAACTTCTTTCTTCATTTTTTAGTTCAATATTCAAGTTTAACGAAGGGAATTTGACCAATTAAATCAGAATTAGAACACCAAACTTGAAACTTCAGGACAAGAGACCCTAGATATTTTTCGAACTAGATGAGATCTATTTGGTTCTGTTAAACAAGAGAGGAGATCTGAGTAACTAAATAACTCATTGATGGAAAGCTGATGCTGCAATATAGGCAAGAACATAACTAACTCCTATCCAAAATGCAATTTGCAGTTACACATAAATCAAATAAACAGTCAGAACTTGTACAAGACTATGATATAGTTACAAAGAAGAGTCATGCGGTATTTAGGTGACGTACAGAATAACCTGAAGAACAATTGATAAGTGTTTGACTTGTTTGACACTAGAATTACCTCAAGTCATTCCCAAGAGGGGTAGTCTCAAGTACCTTGGGTCGGTTATTCAGGGGATCGGGAAGATCGACGAGGATGTCACACACCGTATAGGGGTGGGGTGGATGAAGAGGAAGTTAGCGTCGGGAGTCCTGTGTGACAAGAAAGTGCCACCGTTACTAAAAGGTAAGTTTTATAGAGCAGTGGTTAGGTCTGCCATGTTGTATGGGACTGAGTGTTGGCCGGTTAAGAACTCACACATCCAGAAGATGAAAGTAGCAAAGATGAGGATGTTGAGGTGGATGTGCGGGCATACAAGGATGGATAAGATTAGGAGTGAAGATATTCGAGAGAAGGTGGGCGTGACCCCATGGAGGACAAGATGCGAGAAGCAAGACTCAGATGGTTCGGGCACATTCACAGGAGGAGCACTGATGCACCAGTGAGGAGGTGCGAGCGACTCTCTGTGGCGGGCACGAGGATAGGTAGAGGGCGACCCAAGAAGTATTTGGGAGAGGTGATCAGGCAGGACATGGCGCGACTTAGGATTACTGATGAGGACATGGCCCTTGACAGGGAATTGTGGAGGTCGAGCATTAAGGTTGTAGGTTAGGGGGGAGTTGTGAATATTTCTACGGCGTACCAGGGTAAGATTAGCCATTTAGGAGTTCGTATTAGGATGCTAGGGGTTATCTGCTGGTTATTATCGTACTTTCCATCTATTTCGTATTTCTTATATTGTTGTCATTTTATTATGATTCTATTGATGGTACTAATATATCGTCTCTTGTGGCCTTCTTGAGCTGAGGGTCTCCTGGAAACAGCCTCTCTGCCCCTCGGGATAGGGGTAAGGTCTGCGTACATATTACCCTCCCAGACCCCACTTGTGGGATTACACTGGGTTGTTGTTGTTGTTGTTGTTGTTTGACACTAGAACTTGATGAAGCTAGAACAGTCCAAATGCGGAGGACTCATTCATTTGCGTCACAATTTGGTGCCTCCGAAGCATTGATGCAAAAGGAGCTCCTACCCACCTAGGCTCCAGACTCGGTGACTGCATCGTGATTACATAGATATTAGCATCTTGAGGTTAAGAATACCATCAACCATGTCATTAGGAAGGAGATCCACCACAGAAACGAATACAAAGCACCAGAAAAGAAGATTACCTGTACCCTGAGATGGTTGAACTTGTGCCTTTCAGCAAACATGGCGTCAAAGTCTATCCTATTTAGTCTTGCCATAATGATTGGATTGTAGATCAACGCATTGCCCTTATCCTTGTCAACTAAATCCTCCAGTAGGTTGAAAGACGTATATGAACTTCAGGTAAATGAGCTATCTTTTTAAGCAATTGAGCACAACTAAGCACAAGTAAAATAACACATGGAAGCCAAGCTGAGTTTGTTAGTAGAGCTCAAATTATACAAAAGCTATATGGTGAATTCTGATGCGAAATTCCTCTCTTTATTCCTCCTTACTCGATCTTAAAACTGAAATCATAGTCCACGTTCTTATGCACAAAGGAACATCAGGGAATACCTATAATCAGCAGGACATAACCTAAAGTTTGAACCATCAGAAGACTTATTGTTCTATAGAAAGCGGAAAGCACTATCCTCATGATCCATTAACAGTCTTCTTGCTTTACTTATCGAAAAGAAGAAAATCTTCTTGCCTTAAAATGCAACTTTTAAATTTTCCGAGAGGTTCTGATTTTCTGACTTTGTACACATTGACACAAACTTTTATTTTTTGAGAAGGAACACATTTGTATATTAATAAATAGAGTACACAAAAACTGTGTAGTCACCCATATTTACCGTGTGAAATACTGGAAGAAACTCCAAATCCTTTGTCTTGTCAAAAGGATTCTAAGACATCAACAATAGACTCATGGTCTTCTAAATACTTTCCATTACACCAAAAATAGAAAAGGACTACACACCTCATTTTCATCTTCTGGATGTTATTGGATTTATCGTCAAAGATATTGTATCTAGATTTTAATACTGAATAGTTAAGACTTGGTTTTCTCAACATCTAAATATAATGGCGAAATATATAAACGCCCCTTTATGTTGTCCTCAATGACCAGATAAACACCTCAATTGACCCAATTATCAATTACACACTTTATTTTAGACTGAAGTACGACCTCGTGAACACCTCATGCTGACATGGCAAAGTGTGTGCTTTATAATCACATATGAGCGCGTGAAACCCTTAAAATCAAGCTTTTTTTAAAAAAAAAAAAATTTACTTTATGTGGTCCCCACTTACTTTCATTTCACTGTTCTCCTCCTCCAAAATTTTCACCTTCAAACAATTTCCATGGCAGCCCAAATAGCAAGCCAATACAGGAAAAATTGGTACTTCAAATTTTGTGCTTATGTCTCCTTTCAACCTCAGACACCCGCTACCATCTCCACCATTGTTACTGCCACCACCATAAGAACTCCGCCCAACTCCTCTTGTCCTCCACCACTACTTTAGCCGCCTCCACCACATATAAAAAGCATACCAAAGACAAATCTTCAATCTATCTCCACCAGCTCCACCAATTATCGATACTCCGGTATCATCTCTTTCTTCCGGTGCTTCTCCTCCATTCATCGCCACCGCTCCCGGCGGTTCTCCTACCAAGTCTCGTAATTATGCTTCCTTGAATAAAGTCATCATCGTCGGATCTGCTGTTGTAGCTGATTTGCTGATGCTTTAAATCTCTGACATTCACGGGCTCTAATGTATATGTAGTTGTTATGATAATGAGCATCTATATATCCACCAAAAAAATTTGGTAATCATCTATGGGCATTGATGAGATTAGAAAGCTCTCGCTCGTGTAGTACTTGGATTATAGGAGCTGTCTGTCAATTCAATTTTTTGGTCAGTCCGGTGAGACTCCATTATTGTTGGACTAGAACTCGTCGGGCGTGGGGAAGGGGGTCAGATGATTGTTTTTGTTTTTAATTATGACAAATTACACGTGTCGTCCTTTAATTGGTTCATTTTAATACATCATTGGCAAGTGTAATTCACGCATGTGGTTTGCCGCACTTAAGTGTTTATTTGATACACTTAGCAGTCACTTGGAGTGTTTAATTGGTAATGGGGTCAGTTGAAATGTTTGTATGGTCGTTGAGGACAACATAAAGGGGCAATTTATATATTTCGCCAAATATAATTTGTCTTTAATTAAAACTAACAAATATAGAATTCAAATAAATAAATAATAAATAATATATCCACAAAATATTAAATATAATATTAATTTTACATGGTGTTGCATAAATTGTTTCTTTAATGAACCACATTCTAAAAGCCAGCAGTTGGCGGAGGAAGCAGACAATGGTGGTTGTGTATTGATTGCTGGAGGTGATGGATGTGCGATGGTGACTGATGGTGATGGCTAGCGGTGGAATTGGTTGGATGGTGCTGGTCAACAATGATGGTTGTGTGGTGGAGGCTAGTGGTAGTGGTGGTTGGTAGTGATGACTGGTGGTGAAGGCAGTCTGAGACGGTGGTTGTGAGGTGGAGGCTGATGGTAGAGGTGATTTATAGTGGTGGTAGGTTTTATAGGTGGTTGGCTGTGGTGGTTGCATGGGGGTAGCGGACGGTGATGGTAATAATAGAGTAGTAGTAAAAGATTACATTCACAAAATCTTTAACTGAACATCTTGATGATTTTAAGACTCTGTACTAGATCTGAATAATTGAGACTTATTAAGAACTAATATTAAGTGGTTGAGAAAGAAAAAACAAGAGATCTGTATGATTCAGATTCAAAACTCCATAAAGTGGAAACAAATGGGGCCAAGTTCCTCTAGCGTATAGCACTTAAGCAGTCATCTCCAGAAGTAACTTCTATCGTCCTAACTTATAAAGGTTTGTTGCTTAAATCTCTCGGTTCAATTCACTCTTGGATCTTAGGTCATTGACTCAGGAGCTTCTGGTTGTATATCTAATAAATCTCTTTCCTCTACTATTAGTTACTTTCCAAAACCATGACAACAAGAGCAGGTCAAGCGACTTTCATCTTTGACTTTAGTTTAGTGTTACATATTTTTTTGATCAAGTAAGGTAAGCTTTCATTAAATCTATCATCCAGAGGATGTAATTGATTACAAAAAAGTCAATTTTCCTGAAAAGCAAAAACCTCCTATCTGCTCAAGGAGCTTACAAAATCTAATAGATCTAATGAGCTATTTATATCAAAATGGTTACTCCAAGCAAAAAGATTTAATAAACATCTAGCTTTTAGTGCAGTTTAGTGTTACATATAACATATTCTAGGTTGTTCCTTCAATCAATACTAATAGCTGTTTATCCCAAACATTTAATTGCTCAATCTTGGATGTACCATATATGAGCCACACGGAATTTACTACCTCGACCTTCCAAGATAACCCACAGCTATCCTATTACTGACTCTCCTAGATTACTCCACAAATGGTTGACACAGACCAATTTTCTATTTTTCACACCTTTGTACTGAAGATAAAATTAGTCTGTGATTCCATTCATATTTCCCTACATTCTAAACCCGTCATAATACAAAACATGAATATTTCCACAGGCATCATAGACTTTCTTGCAAACTATAAGCTGAAGTCCATTCTCATTAGCCAAAGAAAAATTAAGATGACGACCCAAGTGTTCCAGTCATGATACACTATTACATTTCATCACAGAACAGAGTGAATAAGACTGATCTCTAGAAACAGAAGATGAATAACCACTAGACTGTGGTATTACTATATAAAATTCCATTTTCTCAAACTGCAAAATCCCTTAACAAGAAAGTCAGGCTGGATGGCTATGGAGATGAATTATTCTCAAGGAAAATTTCTAGTAGAAAGGAACACACTATTTCACTGTATAACTAATTACAGATTAGCTAACTAGGTAAGAGATACATTTAAAAAGGCTTGTTTATTTCCAGGGGAAAAACAATTCACTCAAGCACATTGAAACGGTTAAAAGGATCAACAACAGCTAGATAAAAGATGGTTAAGGACACAATGATAGCAAAAATTTACATAGAAACACAAACTTACTTGTTTTGCACGTTCCAGTAATTGAATTACAA